TCTTATTGATTTTAGGAGAGAAATGGGGCAACCTGCAAGATAAGTGGGAGTTAACTTCATGTTATTTCCTATGCACAGCACTCATGCATACTTGGAGAGCACGGCAGCTCTGTTTATTCTGTGCACAGTTGTATTTTTGGAAGCTTTCAATTAATTAGTCTTATTAGCCTTCATTTGGATTCAAATGCCAAGTAATAACCTCCTAACTTATAAGTGGAGCCCTTTTAACTAAAGCAAGGCTTAAGTTTGGATAAATTTTCTCCTGTTTGCTATTCCTCTACAAGCTCCTTAAAAAACTAGATGCACACTAAGAAGGCTCTCAGTACCTTGACTAGTATGACAAATAAAAAACTAATAACTTCCATAAACATGTTAATTTATGTCTTTCTCAAAATCATTGTGTGTTAGTCAATGTTAAACAGAACCAAAAGAACATATATATACATAGGAATTTACCCAAATGTCACCTTTTCAATGAGTCCCCGGTCCATGCTTAATTTTTCTTCTTAGCATTTATCTTTTCTTCACAATATGCACTTTAATTATTTATTGTTCCTCCTTATATCCGTATGTGAGTCCAAAGACCCATTTACACTCAACTTCTGTGTGCCAGCAGCCATATGTACCAGACTCTAAAATGGCCAAACAGTTATTCAAGATTGGTTCCAAGAACCCCAACAAAAATCAGAGCTCTCAGTGCCAGATTGGTCTGGATTTTCAAGCTCTTGGGTGATCACAGAGTTGTAAGAAAAGTGGCTGTCCACTGATATTCGTGACACCAGCCTTTCTGCTTCACTGCACCTTCCCCTTGTGTCCGTGGCACCAATTTCTCTGATAGTTCTCCCAGGCGATAGGGTTAGATGTGGGTCCATAGTGCTGGATCACTAGGGATAATTCACCTTTAAGACTAGGGAGCACTTTCTGGAACTGAAGAGTTACATACTGAAAGGGGCAGGACCCTGAAAGTGGTTTCAACACAGTTGAAAGCTGTTCAAGTTGATGAAAGCCATTGCATTCATCCTGCTGGGAATACCTATGGACTCTGCTCCCTCTGCACACTAGAGTCATTTAAATGAACTAATTGATCATATAAACTGATATCACCTGGGGTATAGCTCAGTTCCTAAGAATTATAGTGGCACTTGGAACAAGGAGGAGTCCCAAAGAGAAGCCATCCTCACTTTATTTTGGCAAATATCTGGCTTAGGTAGAACTGGTCTTATTCCACAATAATTAAAAAATAAAAAATAAATTTTATATAAACCGATTGCTAAAAGTTCTTTCCCCTTCCTACCAGCATTACACCTTTATTTTGAGGAACTATCTCTTGCCCATTTTGTGTGACATATCATGATAGTGAATCATGGTGTCCTGACCTTGCCTTTGGAAGCTGAAAAGTTCTGGCAAGGCTCTGCCAAGCAGCTCTCTCTCTAGAGGCCTTAAAATTGAGTAGAAGGAAAGGAGAATGGAAAATACAGGTTCAAACTCATTTATTTCAGCAATTAAGCAAACTTCTGCATCTAAGACCTTTTGAGGCTGCCTGTTTCTTAAGGTTTCCCTTTGGTCCTTGGAGTAACCCTCACCTTAATTTCTTTGAATAAATCTACTTATGACTTAACCAACCCAGTTTCTGTAACTACAGTACAGAAATCCTCAAACAAACTTTAAAAAAAATTTTGATATGAAAAAGGGGAATCAATATCATGGGCTATAAATGATTGGCATATTTTTAAAGAAATTTTCTCAAGAAAATACATTTCTAAAATTCCCAAAACTTTGTTAAAGGACTCAAAACAAACACATATTCTACAATGTAAATTATAAAAATCAAAATATGACAATGGGCTGAGAGGAAAGGGGAAATAGTAATATTAAAGAAAGTTTTTAATTAACAAATAATGCTATGGCAAAATTGTAAAGACCAGAAATAATAAATTTTAGAATGGATACTGCTTAAAAACAAACAATTTATATAGACAAGTGGTCTTCAAACTCTTTTGATTGTGTACTAAGTAAAAGAATTTTGAAAACTTTAGGGACATCTTGAACATTTTTAACTTGACATCTAAAACTTTATCAAAACTACAATTTTTTTCACAAATAAAAGAAAATATTAAACATGTTATAAGATGAAATAAGATGAGAAATGACTACAATAGAATAAATATTTCATAGCATGATTTAATTTTAATATAAGTTTTAACCACCTTATTGTATAATTCAAGCCAAATTTTTTGAAGGTAACTTGAAACTTGGTGCTCTGGGAAAATATTCCAGTGTCATTGGAAAGAACCAGTTCCCTATCCTGTCCTGCTTCATTTGTTCTAAATTCAGAACATTTCCACTCTGGCCAGTATTTTCCTATAATAAAAAGGAACACACACAGAGGCAAAGAAAGGCAGGTAAACCCAAGAGCCAAGGTGAATATGTTAATCATTAACAGGTTACCCCCAAACAAATATTTGGAATTATCTCTTTGTTGACAACCAGGAAGTGTTGACACTTTAGTCATTTCACCAAAATAAGGTATGGCTGACTTTCTTTTTTTAAAATGGGGAGAGAGATATCGTGGACACAGGTACATTCTTGAGCAATTTTAGGAAATAAGCTGAAACTGATTGAAGTTGAGAAAGACCTTGGAAAGTATTTGCCTGCCTCCACCACTGAGAAGTCCATGGAGAAAGCAAAACAAAAGGTCCAAGGATGAAAGTCAGCAGAAACTAGAAGATGGATGATAAGGTTCTACCATATAGATAAATACATGAGGCGGGCTCAGTAAAGAAAACACAACAAATTGAGGAGAATCACTAAATGAAACAAAATTGAAGAAAACTCTAGATGAAAAGCAAGTTGCTCACAATATTTGAGGCAACATCAAGTGAAAGTGATTAATACCTTGTGATATTTTGGTAAAAGTATGGAAATTCAGGGTAAATAAAATATAGCACCCAGCATAAATGTTCCTCTCCTACAAAAATTAGCTGGCTGACTAGACTTCCTTATATTATATACCAGAAGAGACTAGCAGGAAGTCAATATTGTCTTGAAGAAAAAAAAATCATGAAACAAAAATTTTGTTCTCAGCTAAGTTAGTATTTTAATGTATTAAGGCTCCATAATGATAGTACAGAGTTCTAAGAAAGGAATTCTCAGTTATTCTGGAACTCAGAGAATTATTCAAGTACTGTTCCAAAACAAATCTCCATTAAAATGTTTTGAGAAGAAGGGTCAGGGATGTTCATTAAAAAAAAAAAAAAAATCACTGGCTAGGGCTAGGCTAAGGTGCACAAGAAGTGTCCAGAGCACAAAATTAAGGAGTCACTCACTCTCAAGAGCCATTTCTGTACTAGCATGAGGCTGAGAAACAGTGTCTCCTTAAATATTTCTTGCTGGGCACCTCGGTTGCCTCACCCTAGTTCCAGCCCTGGAATTGTATCCAAATAACAATAACAATATGGTAACAAATAGAAGAAATACAAATGCTATATTCTTGAATGGAAATTACTCAATGCAAAACGAAATACCTTGACTGCAAATGGCTAGAATAAAATTTTTAGAAAGCAGAAATAAAATCAAGGGGTTGTACTTGGGTGACATGTTAGGATGTCTCAGTGTGTCAGTTTCCCCATTGTACCTAAGGAGGAAATCAACAGTTGCTTTCTACTCCATCAGTTATTAACTTGAGAAATAAAGCATTATGAAAACAATGAATTTGGAGGCACCACACAACAAAGTGTAATATGTATTTGAAACAAAATTTATAAGAAGTAAAAACAAAGAGATATAGGAGGTAAGACTGACAAAAGGTGAAGCTAATAGATTATAAAATTTAAAAAGACAAGCTATTTTTAAATAAATTATTAAGTGGTCTCATGAAGCAAAAAGCATATATTCATCATGTCAGAAGTAAAAAAAAGATGAAACTTCAGATATAGATACAATGAATTTATTATAAAAAGATAATTTGGTAAAATATTTGGATATTTTGCAAATACATTTCATATTGTGTTTAAAATGAATGATCATCCAAGATAACATAAATTGTCAAAATTGATTGAAGAAAATATAGAACCCCTTAGACCAATAACTGAAGAAAACTGAGAAAGTTATCAAAGAACTCTCCTCAAAACAGATTTAAGCCTACATAGCTTTACAAATCAATGCTTTCAAGGCTTTGAATAAAAATAATAATTATAAAAATTCCATTACGGTTCATCTTTTTCAGAGTATTGGAGAATAAGGAAAGTTTCCTTTTCTTTTTTTTGAAATTGGCCTAAGCCTCATATCCATATACAATAAAGACATGAAAAACCAATATACACATACAGAGCCAATCTCATCTATCAACACAGCAGCTAAAGTCCTAAATAAACTATTAGTGAATCAAAAAGAATTCTCAAGGAAAATATAGCTCAACATTAACATGTTAATATAATTCATAATATTTAACAGTCAAAGAGATAAAGCAGATCATCTTATCATTAGATAGATGACAATAAGTTATTTGAGAAAAGGAATTAATTGCATGACCATTAATGTTATTATATAAATGATTCTTTAGGGAAGGGGGGACTAGTTAGAGAGAGTTCATAACTGCATCTATTCTGAAGCCATTAGGAAATGTGAATGGTAACTCTTCCTCAAACCATCACATAGGAAAAGATACCCTAAAAGTCTCTAACACATAGATGAATTCAGTCAGAGCAGCGGCTCTGAAAACCGAGGCATGCTGAGCCATTGTTGTTCTTACCTCCCATGGCAACTGATGCTTCCAGGATCATGTTTCTTGGAAGCCTGAGCTCATTCATTTTGCTGTTTGAGAACTTAGACTTTGATCCCAAACTAACAAAATAGATTGTTCCATGACCTTCCCTCCTGCTCTGATGCTGGAGGATCCAGCAAAGGAGGAGTGAGGAGAGGACCAAGATGAAAAGCAGAGGACCACGACCCCTTCTCAACTGCTCCAGTGTTTAGATCTAAGTCAAAGAGAGAAACTTTGAAATAGATGAAATTTTTTATTTGTTTCAAGTAAATGTTTTAGGTTTTACATACATAAAAGTGTGCAATCATAAATGTAGTTTTCACAAAGCAAACATACCTGCATGACTAGCACCCAAGTCAAGAAACAAAATATTGCCAGTACCCAAGGAGCCCTTCTTAAGCACCCCCATCCAGTTGTGACTCCACCCAAGATAAATCACTTAACTTGATTTTTAACAGGATAGTTTTGTCTGCTTTTAAAAACTCTATATAAACCTTAGAAGAATGTACTCTTTGTCTTGTTTCACTCTATCTTGTGTTCATGAGACTCATCTGTGGTGTTGTGTATTGGGGTCTGTCCATTCTCATTGCTATATGAATAGACCATGATTTTATTTACTTCACCTAGCAGGCAATTTAGTTGTTCCCTGTTTGGGCTATTATAGCTCGTGAACATTGTTCTACATGTTTTTGAACATCTATGAACATTGTTCATTCAGAACAATGTATGAACATTGTTCTACATGTTTTATGAATGTATGTGTGCATTTCTAAGGGAAATGTCTGAGTCATTGGAATTGTACATTTAGCTTTAGGAGGCATTGCCAAGTGACTTTCCAAAGTTCTAATTTGCACCCACATTTATAGTATATGAAAGTCCCAGTTGTTCCACACTCTTGTCAACATTTTGTTTTCCATCTTTTTTCATTTTAGCCATTCTGTTAATTATAGAGTAGCATCTCACTGTGGTTTTGATTTTCATTTCTGTAATGACTAATGAAGCTGAATATCTTTATATATGCTGCTGAGTCACTGAAAATTTCTCTATTATGAAGTTCCTATTCAAGTCATTTGCCCATCTTTCTATTGGGTCATCTGCCTTTTGGGGGGGGTGTTTCTTTTTTGTCTGTATATATTATTAATATAATTTGCATATCCATTTTACTCATCTCTCTTTTTTCCCCCTTCTTTTAGTTTTCTACAAATTCCCCTTCCTCTCTGTATCATCAATACCCACAAGGCAGGACCAGTGTTCTCATCTTAGTGTCACTCTCAGGGGCCTGACACTATGTGTCCCTGAAAACATCTGCTCAAATATAACTGTTGATTTGCATTAGGAGATTCTCTTCACTTGCTAAATTAGCCCGAGGCTCTTGACCTTGCAGTTCTATTGGGATTTTAAATATGGCAAAAACTTCTTCTATAGAAAAGTGGCAAAACTAGAATTAGCTCTATGGAGACAACATAAAGAATGTGTTTTAAGTGGTAGAAGCCAGAATTAATTTCTGCTAGGATTAATGATCCCTATTTGAGTATCTTGGGAAAATAAGGAAAATATGAAGAAGGTCAAATGATCTTTTTCTACCCTCAAAAGGTAGAAAGCATCACATCTCTCATTTGTGATGCTTTGCTATGCCCTGTTTCATCTTGTTATACCTGCAGTATTTTTCACCCCCACATTAATTGTCATTTCACTTGAAAGTGCCTCTGTCATCTCCTTCCAATTTTCATTATATCTCACTCTAAACTATCTCTCTGTTCCTTCTGGAAGTATCCACATTGCTTCCTCTCACATCCATTCTTCTCACAGTAGAAGCTTTCCAATTCTATCTTTACTTTGTCCGATTTCTAGATAACCTCATTCATTTTCCAGTTGTTAATCTCCTGCAATGGCTAGAATAAGAAAATATCTGTTTCATCTGATGGAAATCATCCTAATCTAAATAATTGGAAAGCGGTCTATTTAATTTTAGCATGTAATTTTAATAGAATTTAACCATATAAATAAACATCCATGTTTTACAATGTATAAAAAAATTGAAAATGTTAATTCTGTAGATTACAGCTTCAAAATTCTGTTCTGTGCTGAACCCTATAACATATGACTACCATTCCCAGTAGATCTTCTCTGTAGCCAATAATGACCCCCAAGAAGATATTTATCGGTGATTATTTTCACATAGATTTTTATTCACCTTGAATTAAATTTCCAAAAAGGGAAATTTAAGGGCAACAAGAACTGACTTTTCAAGTTTGTCCAGCAGTTGTCAACCCTGGCTGCATGTTAGAAGCCCCTGGGGGAGTATCTAAAAATTAGTGGTTTCTGGGCTCTACCCCAGACCAATTCATTCAGGATCTCTAGAGTGGGTCCTAGGCATCAGTATGTTTTAGAGGCTTTCTAGGGAAGTCTAAAACATAGCCAGAGTTAAAAACTGCTGAGTCCATGTTCAAGAATATATAAAAAAAGGAGGGTGTAAGTATAAAATGTTGAAAAGTTAACACTCAGTACTACATTTACGTTTACAACTCTATATCCTCAGAAGCGGGTGAGAGTCCTCTCTTTGGCCCAGTCCTGGATTTCTGCTTGTCCAAACATGAGGTAGAAGACCAGGCCAAACACGTTGACAGCAGCAGACAGGAAAAAGACATTCCTCCAACCAGACTCAGAATCCTGGCCACAAAAAAACTCAGAATAATTATTAATGTTACAAGCTCCTTCTCTACCAGTTCTAGTAGTCCTCTATGTTGTGCATTGCAATGTTGATCATCAAGTATATAGGGAACAATAAGCAATAGCCACTTAACATCTTGAGTCATCAAAAAAGTTTATGAAACTGTTGGAAATAAGATGACTCTAAAATGCATATTGCCTTCTGAGTTGAGATGAATATTTCTTTAAACAAACATAAACTACACTAATGTGTTTCTGGAAATTTGGATTTCAACATTCATGAAAATACAGTATTACTCACTTAACATTATGATTAAAATGGTATCTGTTGGATCTCATGTTTGTGTTTCCTCTGTTTTGTTTTGTTTTTGGCTGTTGGCATCAATCACAACAACCCATCTCAATGAAACACAAGTTCTATTTGGTCTGCCTGTGTGATCCTCCTCATTAAGCCCTAGTAAGTCATAGCTCAGTTCCAGTATTATGATCACAATGGATTCCTAGCAATTGAGTAAAATATTAACCCAGAAACTATCAATAGATCACATAGAGATGTTAAAAACAAAACAAAACTTCTCTTTGTACACGGAAACTCATCAATCTTTCCATCCCAGCCTGGTTCAGCCTTTTCATCTTCCTCACCAGCCCACACTTCCAAATACTGAACAGGCCTCACCACCCACACTCCCTGCAATGTCTCACAGACATTCTCTTTTTACCCACTTAACTTCTCTTTAAACTAATCTTGGGATACTTTTTGTGTTTCCTTTTGTGACTTTTTTCTTGAAAGTTGAAATTAGTCTGAATAGATTCTGCATGATCTTCCTCTTCTGCCCTTCTGTCTTTATCTCTTGCTATTCCTTGACATGTATCATTCACTCTGGTCATAACTAAGAACTTTTTCATGCTTGTCTACCTCTAGAAAGTCAAACATACTGTCTGTCTTCATTTTTATCAATCTAACATCTATTCATTTTGAGAAATTCAGCTTATTTTTCTTCCTCTGAGAAACCTGACCTAACAGAGTCTGACTTAGAGACTCCCGTGAATAGAGCAATTGTGTTGATATCCATGCTTGTTTCCATCATGAGACTTCAAGAGCACAGTGTGTATTTCCAATACCTAAAGCAATACCTGCCACTTGCAGATGTTCAATAAACTGGCCCAACCTGACTGATAAGGAATCCAGTGGCAGTAGAAGAGACAATTCCTGCGAGAAGTCCAAATCCCCTTGAAATTCCCATGAGGAAACTTGCATATCTGTGGGAAGATGATTTTATAAATGATTTTGTATAGAAAGCCACCTACAGCTTCTGCAGCAACTCAGTTTTAGAGCAGCTCAGCTCTAAAAGCAAAGTAGTTTTGCCTAAAGTAGACTTTCATTCACCTAAAGATATTCAGAGCAATGTCTGTTTGGCAACCCTGAAATTACCTGGCCCCTGAGTCATTACCCAGGCAGCAATGTAGTCTCCTGGGAGCCAAGTTTCCCCACTCTGGCTGCACAGCATGGAAGGCAGTCTGTGCAATGGGCAGGGCACAGACTCCAAAGCCAAACTGCTTGGGTCCTAACTGCACGGGCCCTTTTGTGACCATAATCATACCACTTAACCTTCTTATACCTTAGTCTTCTCCTCTGTAAAATGGGGATAATGATAGGATCTACCTACTGTTACTGTGAGGATCAGATGTATTGATAAGTGACAAGTCTTTAGTGCAGGAGTTGGCTCATGGTGAATACATACATATGTGGTAGCCAGTATGATCAATACCCTGGAAACTTTTCCAAAACACATGTGTATGGGCCTTTACCAGAGTACATAATCCAATCCCTGGTAGGAAAGCTTGGGAAGCCTTTTATTTAAATGATTACTAGGCAAGATTGTGAGCTGTTGTTCTAAAAATGCTATATTAGGTCATGGCCACATACTGGCATTTCTAGTTATTTGTCATTCTGCCATCAGTTAGTGGGTGTCAACAACATAAAGGAGTTATGTGGGCACTGACTGAGGTTTAACACCTTTCAAGGGGTCTGGAGGAGGGCAAAAACAGGTAGAGCTCTTACCTGGGGGCAACATCTAAGGTGTTGATGATAAAACCTGAGTCACATAGGTTGCTGGTCCCAGGAATAAGTATCAGCAAAATAATGGTTGCCATGTAACTGGAAGCCACAAAGGGCAGGGCCACCGCACATAGTGATGGAAGGAGAAGCCCTGGGCAATGAAGACACGCTGTCAAGATCCTTCTCTCACCATGCTCATGGAAAAGGGATTGGCTAACCAAACCCACTCGCCTATCCTTACCTAGGGATGAAAAGAGTTTTCGCACAGTGATCAATCTGAGAAGATTCCTGGACAGAAGGAAATCTGCCAACTGACCTCCTAGAATTGTACAGCTTGAGGCAGCAATAAAAGGCAGGGAGGACAGAACCCCACTCTGAAAAAAGGAAATTTATACATATAGCATCAAAATTTATCAGTTACACAGACCAATAATTAGCCTACTGCTCCCCCACCCCCAACATTCTTAGTTGTTTGTGGGAAATCAGCATCCTTTTTCACATTAGAAGAGCATGTCTCAGATAAGAGGGCCAGCAGCTGCATTACACTGGGCTGCAGATAAAAGCAATGTTAATTTCTAAGAGAAATTTTAGAATCAGCTGCCATGGAAATATAGCACAGTGGTTAAGAGCCCAGATGCTGCAGCAGCTCTACCACTTAGTATTGTGTGACCCGGGGCAAATTATCTCACCTCTATGTGTCCCATTTCCACATTTGTGAGATGGAAATCATTACAATCTCTTAAGGTCATTGTGGAGGTTAAATGAATGGTTACATGCAAAGTCAGAATGTAATAGGTAGCATAGAACTATTTTGCCTTATTGCCATTATCATCATTTTCATAGAAGTATAGGCAGTATACTCACATTGCTGATGTTAACATGGAGCACAGTACTGATGTATGTCGGTAGATACGTTATGATTATGGTGCATAACCAGAAATGGCTGAAAAAACCCGTGAAAATGGCCCAAAGTGGAAGGCATCTGACCATGGCCTTTATAGGGACAGATCGTCTAGGAGAACTGGACTGAAAGGAAATAGCTAATCAACATGAGTATTAGCACAGGCCAGAAGGTGCCTCTCCCAGGAGACCCACGCCCTGCCCTGGAGGTCTCCGTATGGTCCACAGGTACAAGGGGGGCACTGCACCTGTTGAGCCAGTGAGGACACGATGTGTTCCTTCTCCCTGACACTTATGCACGGGTGATGCATGGGGTCATCATAAATCACCGTGAACCACAGGAGACAACAGACACAGCCAGTGCTACCTAGAAGTGGGGACAAAATTAGTTTTCAGGTAGATCTGTGTGCTGGGGGAAGGGAGTTGCCTGTGAAGTGGCATGTCTTGCCCTACCACACAATTATTAATTCATAGTTATCCTGTCATAAGGACCTAAATTTTCCCATTTCTTCTTTCAATCCTTCTACAAACCTCCTTCTTCCACTAAAGCTTTCCAAATACTACCTATCAAATCTAGAGTCACCATTTGTCAATGTCAGAGCCCTTTGGAGATAACATGACATTGCATAGCTGACTAATTACTCTAAAGACTCCTATGGTTATAGTGTTATGTATTTTTGGCAGCAACTTCTTAATGCATACATTATTGTCTTGTTTCGGAAGATGTGAACAGTCAGGAATGAAGAAGAAGAGTAGTCATACATACTATGAAACAACCTGTCATGAGCTTAGAGGGGCAAGGAAAAATTTTCGGCATATTTACAAGAGACAGTGTTATTTGTATTCAAACCAGACATCTATTATGAATTTCCAGAAGAAATATTTCTTGACAATACCTGGTTAACATGTACAAACCCAAATGATCTGGGATTAGCATCATTAATGAGAAAGCCATCCAAGCCAGAACCACATTCAATGACATTTGGCTATAACAACAAAGCAATCTGTAGAAATTTGTCTTATTACTGGGATTTGAAGAAGAAGATTCTATGTTATTTAAAGAAGATTCCATGTTAAAAGATTCTGGGGACTAATGTTCTTTAAATTCCCTGTAATTACTAGATTCATTCACTCTTTTAAAGTCAGGCACTATGATGATAACAAAATGATACAAACATTATAGAATGGATTCCTTGCCTCACAAATTTCACAGTCTAGTGGGGAAATAGTCTCTATTTTCTCTTAAAGATAAGGGAAAACAAATAAATTACACACCCACAGAACCTAGAGAAGAAATGGCAGCAAAGATCACAGAGGAGAGAATGACTGAATCTGATGGGATAAGCTCAGGAAGGTCTCATGGAGAAGGGGCATTTGAATTGAGCTTTGTAAGATTCACCTTGTAAAGAATAGGTTAAGGACATCTTGGGGAGAAATAATGATTATAATGAAATATGAAGACACACTGAAAATGCATTTCACCATCCTTGACATCTTAACTACACGTGGTCACTAGACGAGGCATTTCAGATGTGGTGGTGCAGATTCTACAGAAAATACTTGAAGCAGAAGGGCAAGGCTGCATTCTTGATTTCCTAGAAGTCGGTGCCATGTGTATAGTCACCTCCCCTGCCCCATGCATGTGGCTTCCCAGAACCACCAGGAAGGTGTTAAATCAACTTGTGTGACTAGATTAAGAAAGAGTCCAATCCTTTACATTTTTCATCTTCCATTTTAACAAAGGGCATTTTCTGTCATATGGGAAGAATGTGGATAATGTAAGCATCAAAATGAATTCTTGCGAAACAGAGGTGTTTGGATTTAAGAGAAAGTGACTTACCAAAGATATAGAAGATAAAAGGCCAGCCCAAGGCCTGTGAGATTAATCCTCCTACACAGAGTATGATGAAGGATCCGAATGCTACTCCTGCAGAGAAGAGGGAGAAAAACAAGAAAATAGCAAATGCTAAGATTTCGTGTCCTCCCAACAATGAGGTGGCAAACTTAGAATTACTGGATGATAAAAGTATTTATTTCTGCTCACAAATTTTCCTTAATAAAGTTATGTGATATAATTAAAATTAATAAAATATTTCTGATTTCACCACTATACAATTCATCCATGTAACTTTTTACTGGCTCCTCAACACCAATGTGACCAAATCTAAATCCCTTAGTTTATCAGAGACTCACTGCAATCACAGCCCTGCAGTATTTCCTGATAACTGCAGTTACATTCTTGCATGATGCAATATGAGGCTGGAAGCAGGAAAGGAAAGACTTACAAAAATCAGTAAGATACAGTCCTTGCCCTCAAGAAGCTTTTGGTCTAATTGGAGAGAGAAAAATGTGAACAAAATTAACTGTCACATGTGAAAGAAATACCATGAAGACTCTGGAGTCTACATTAAGAAAAACAACATAATTCACGGAGACCCAAAGTAAGAAATGCATTTTACATGGTAACATAACACACACAAATATATACAAACACTTATACACACAACCACACTCACATGCCTCAAACAAGTTTTCATGAATTGACATTTAATTTTACCATGTGTAATGCACTCCAACATTTTCTATGCTATTCACTTTCATGTTTTTAAATGTTGATTTGACCCAGCAAATTGATTTTATGACCTTCTAATGGGTTCTAACCTACAATTTGATGATTTGAAGAAGAAGATTCTATGTTATTTAAAGAACATTCTATGTTATTTAAAGAAGATTCTATGTTAAAAGATTCTGAGTACTAATATTCTTTAAATTCCCTCTAATTACTGAATTGATTCACTCTTTTATTTTGAAAAAATGATGTGGAATATAAATATAATAAAACTATAATGTGCTATGGAAGTATCCATGATATAAATTAATAATAATTGTAAAATTGAGGAATTGTTTACATGAGCTAAACAGTAGGATAAATGAAATTTTGGCAAGGAAAACAGGAGCAGAGAAATTTCCAGGAATACGAGCCAGTGGGAGCAGAGCCAGAGGGAAGCGAAGTGCACATGCATGTGGAGAGCAGCACACAGCGGTGCAAGTAGAGCCTTGCTTGCAGAGGATTGTTGTGTGGAAAGCAGGATGGAGCCAGATGACTGACCACCTTTATATCCATGCAATAAGGAAGTCAGTCTTTACTCTGTAAACATAAAGGAACACATCGAAGATTCTCAACCAAGTGAGCAAAAGTACCCCATCAGTACTTTAGAAAAATAACTTCCCTTTGATGGGAAGAAAACTGGAACAAACCAAGCTAGAGGAAAAATAATTTGCCTTTGATGGGAAGAAAACTGGAACAAACCAAGCTAGAGAAGGGAGACCAGCAGAGCGTATTGGGAAATAGATGAGGTGGTAATCGCAACTGTGATGAAAGGAAACAAGAAAGTGAGAGGGTTGCTGCGAAGTAAAAGTCCACAGGATGCAGCCGTATATTGGACCTGGCAGTGAGCAGTTTGGTGGAGCCTCAGTTCTAGTTTTCAAGTATATATTCTCAGCACTCCAGGCTGGGAAAACAGCAATGGTAAAACTGCAGTGACCTTAGTAGTAGGATCACACACAGCATGGTGATTGAGTGTGCCTCTGTGTCCAAACTGCTTGGACTCAAATCTCAGTTCCAACACCTGCTGGCTATTGGTATTTGGGCAATTTACTTAATCTCTACATTCCTTAACTCCCCTCTCTGTAAAATGAGAGTGTAAGATAGTACTTAAATGAGAGGGTGGTTGTGAGAATTAATTAGATCAGAATAGTAAAGAGCTTAGAATAATACAGACACTTTCAGCCTGATTTCTCTCCTTAACACTTTGAGTTCTGGTACGCTTAATTCTCACTTCAACATCTTTGATAAAATGTTGATATAAAATGATGTTTATATAGTTTATTTGATCTTTTTCCATTTATGCAATTCTTAGAGCTTTAAGCTTTTTCCTACAAGGATTTTCTGACTACCCTAGCTTGCCCATTGTCTTTCCTACTTTTGAGCCTTAGTGTCTTTACAGCACAAATGAATCTTTCTTATTTGTTATGTAATTGTCTTATATTGAATTTTTCAGTAGTACTTTTTCCTCTCTCCCCCAAACAATCTGGTTCATAAAAGGAAAGACACAGTAGGCTGAAACAGATGACAAAGCCGTGATCCACGTATACATCCTTACCTGATCCTGCAATGGTGGTGAGCTTGCTTCGTTCCAGTGGCGGAGCCCATTTTGCCCAAATTGTAAACTGACCTGTCCATGCCATTCCCTGAAATGAAAATCATTAAGATCTTTGCTCTTTTATAAAATTCGTGAATCTGGATCCTGCTTAGAATGAGAAAGCATCTTGATACCTGGGCCATGCCCTGAACTGTACGAATCACAATGACCAAAATCACTCCAAAGTCAGCAGCCCATGGTGTAAAGAGGGTGAGAAGGGAAGAGATCAGCAAGCCAGTACCAAGCATATGTTTTGCTCCAAATATCCCCGCTAAATATCCACTCGGGATCAGAGTCAATATTATCCCGTAGTTGATGGAGCTAAAGATGACACCTTGAATCTCTGGGCTCCATTGATATACAGAGTCCTAGAAAAAAAAAAAAAAAGAAGAAGAAGAAGAAAAGAAAAGAAAACTCTTTGCTAAGAGATCCTTTTATGAAAATCTGCTTTACAGTCAGAGTTGCTTAAGGTTGGTGAGATCCTACTATAAAATATCTATTTCATCTCTATTTTTTACCTATCTTAAACATTCTTTCTACCTTTTCCAAATGAATGATCAATGCTATTCCTAATTTGATTGCCTTAAAGGGAGAGAAAAAGAAAAGAGGAAATGAAGAAGAAAAAGATAAAGAAAATGATTATAGGCCGGGCGCGGTGGCTCACGCCTGTAATCCTAGCTCTCTGGGAGGCCGAGGCGGGCGGATTACTCGAGGTCAGGAGTTCAAAACCAGCCTGAGCAAGAGCGAGACCCCGTCTCTACTATAAATAGAAATAAATTAATTGGCCAACTGATATGTATATAAAAAATTAGCCGGGCATGGTGGCGCATGCCTGTAGTCCCAGCTACTCGGGAGGCTGAGGCAGAAGGATCGCTCGAGCCCAGGAGTGTGAGGTTGCTGTGAGCTAGGCTGACGCCACGGCACTCACTCTAGCCTGGACAACAAAGCGAGACTAAAAAAAAAAAAAAAAAAAAAAAAAAAAGAAAATGATTATATAAATGGAATAATAGGAAGAAGTAAATGGAAAAAGTCAGTGAGAGATATTTCATCTGAGAGTTTCCTTCAACTATTTTGTTTCTGGTAAAAGTGGGGTAACATGTTGACACATATCAAAAAATAAGGAAAACACAACTTTACTGAACTCTTACCAAAATCAGTCCCTAATTAAAAAGAAAAATCAAGTTTGGGAATTACAATCTTCCCTAGAAGACCTGACTTCCTAAAACACATATTACAAAAGAATAAGATCATGCTTTTCTTCTGATATAGCTCAATAAATGATTAAGTTATTTGAAGATAACTACCTAAATACCTAAAAAATTGTGTAAATTATATTACCTAAGTAATTATTTATCTAAAATTAAATAATTTTTAGGCATCATGCTATAATGCCCCTAGCTATTTGGCATCATGCTATAAGTTAATGTAGAGAGCCAAAGAATATAAAATATGAAATATTTTATACACTTAAAAAACACTATAAGTAATGCAAGATATATGATTCATGTGATAATTAAAATTTGAGAATGAACATAAATAAAATAGAGACTTTGAAAAGAGAGAAGAACACTTTGGGAAAGTGCCAGGAAAGAAAAAAATATTTGAACTATCTTTTGAAGAACAACTATGATTTGTATAAAGAGAAAAAGGAAAATACATTCTCAGTGGAGAAAACAACCAAAGTGGGTTTGGAACATTTGGAATGATACCAAATGATAAGAAACTAACAGGGACTCTGGCTGGCTCAGAGTAAAGACTTTCCCTGGGCCATTGGTAGAGATATGAGTGTGCTGAGAAGTAGGACTAGATTCCAGAGGTGCATAGCATGTTAAGAGAGCACATGTTTGGCAACTTGAAGGTGTCCTGGATTCCTGACCTCAGGAGTATGAATATGTAGAATGGATGATGGAAGAAATGCTGGAGGTAATGATTGTATTTATTCATTATAAATAAGCTGGGTCCAATGCAATAAAATCACGAATTATGAATTATAGGAATGACATTAGAAATGTACAGTAAAGGATAGTTTTTATAATAGGATATATAATCATGTTTCTCATACAAATATAAAATGAACATATGACAAAGATTTTATTTAACTCATTGATTAATGAGAGACTCAGTAAAATGTTACAACTGGTTCACAGGTGAATTCAAAGAACCACACATACATAAGCAGGAAGCAATGCTGAAATAGATTTTAAATAGTTGATAAAAACTGGCCAATTCAACTGGGTGATGAATAAAGGAGAGTCAGTCCCAGTTGATTTTCCACTGGGCAAAATTTATTTGCAAAGTTATGGACAAGAATCATTTGCCTTTCTATTCATTGTATAGAATTTACAGGGTTGTAAAATTGCTCATAAATAAGAAAACATTGCAGAGACCTGAATAGGATTGGGTAACCTAGAAGAATGCGCTTAGACAATATCTAGTTTTTCATTGAAGACACCCTGTGATCTATTCCATTTTAAAATTTTTCATATTTTTCCCTAGAGTTCCCCCACCTTGTAATCATAATAATCCCAAAGAAATATTATTTTATCATAAAGGTAAGCCATGTCTCAAAGAAAAATAATTTCAGTCATTTTTAATTTGTTACTGAAAATTGATACTTCTAGACTCCACAGAATCAAAATCCAAGCCTTTCTTCAAATTGAGTTTCTACCTCTCAACAAATAGCCTTGCTTTCCATCACACTTACTCTTGTTTTAAATTCTTTGATGGATCTGCTGAGGTTACTGAGGTTGTTTGCAAGAGGCCCCTCAGTGGAGGCATTCGATAGACCATGCTGTTGAGTGCTGTTCACCATGGCAATGATCGCAATGCTCAGACTCACACGCTGGGTTATCATGGTGAAATTTGAGAAGTGCATGATGAGAGCCAACCCATAGCGTAAGGAACAGAAATCTGGACCTTGAAAACACAGAAGTATGCAATGAGCATCCTGACCGAGATCCTTTTCATTTCCCAATGCTAAATCTGAAAAAACTTTGGATGGTATTGTGTAGCCTCACTATCTTTTTCTATTAATACCAAAATAGCCAGCATTACAATCTCCCCTTGTCAAATTCTTCGGTTGGCTTTAAGACAATGAATATGGAATCTTATAATCAAATAAAGCAAATATGACCTTCTTTCAGAGGTGTGGGAAATAGAATATAAATAGAGAAAAATCTAAATGTATGGCATTTATGTTGTGTTGCTCCAAAGTAGAGTGAATGGGGAAAAAAGTGGCAGAGCCAGTCACAAAACCCAAGTCTTTGGGCTGCAAGTCAGTGGTCACATCTGTTATGCACATTTATTTATCACAAAGTTTGAGAGTTCATACATAGAGAGCCACCTTTGAATTATGCTATTGCACATCCAAGGATTTGCTTTTAAAATTCTGAGATAGTATTTTAAATGAGCACTTCCACTAACTCCTTAGTGTAACGTGCTCTTAGACATATTTTTGCTGTGTTTCACTAGGCCCTGCCTTCCCATATGTCCAATTTATTTTCTTTAAAAAATTAATATGTAGACTGGGCATGGTGGCTCACGCCTATAATCCTAGCATTCTGGGAGACTAAGGTGGGTGGATCCTTTGAGCTTAGGAGTTTGAGACTAGCCTGAGCAGGAGTGAGACCCCGTTTCTACTAAAAAAAAAAAAAAAAAATAGAAAGAAATTATTTGGACAGCTAAAATATATAGAAAAAATTAGCTGGGCATGGTGGCGCATGTTTGTAGTCCCAGCTACTCAGGAGGCTGAGGCAGTAGGATTGCTTGAGCCCAGGAGTTTGAGGTTGCTGTGAGCTAGGCTGACGCCTTGGCACTCTAGCCTGGGCAACAGAGTCAGACTCTGTGTAAAAAAAATATATATATATTAATATGTAGAATCATTTTTACTAAGTTTGTAGGTAACATGTTACTGGAGGAGTATTCAATATATTACAAGGACAATACATTTTTTATCCACAAAGTGTAACAATAAACCAATATAGAAAGAGTTCTCATGTGAATGATGGATTAGATTGTATATTTGGAGAACAAGGACTAAATGGAAACAAAGAGAGAACCTATGAAGAAATAGATAAAAATATAATGAAAGAAATAATTTTTAATGGTCAAATAAGCTCAGGGATACGATTGGTTGCCTGTGAAAAAATTATCAATATTTCCATATTACTGGAAGTTTCCAAACTCAGGAGAAACAGCCAATCACTTGGCAAGGCTAATAATAGCAGAGACTTATACAAAGGTTTGGGGTTGCTTAACATGACTTTTTCAAAATTTATTCCATTCCTTAGATCCCAGGATTTGTCAATCATTTGGCTCAATTTCTGATAGATAACACTGTAAGTTTCCCTAAGGAAAAAGCGACAGGTAACAGGAGCAGGGGTTGGAGGTGGCTCTGATATTAAACTGGGAGAATCTCTACAAAAGGGCAGCATGGTAGAGAATGGAGAAGAGGAGGGCAGGGATGGGTAGAGAACACTGGGAATAAGCTTCAGTGCTTCCATAACGGTGGCCTGCAAACAAGACCGCTGGCTTTACCTTTCCTGGTGGTAGGCTTCTCGTCCATTTAGCTTCTCTAGGAAATGGTACCACACTTTGCGGTGTAGTTTCCCTGTGCCCCGAATCTCTTTTACCACAACGGTTTTTTTATCTATGGGGAGAACATAATCCAAAACATGACGTACAAATAATTTTCTCTTGTTAATGTTGCCTCTCTCAGCATCAGTAAAAGTTTTTTTTTTTTTTCTTTTTTTTCTTTTTAATGCATCCTGGTGTGCTATCAGTAAAAGTTTTGACCCAACACAGCTATATAATTTACATTTTACAGTGAACTGCAGCTGTGTTTTTGGAGGACTGGTTTGTTGTAAGGAAAGCTGGCTCTAAGACCCAGCGATGTGACTTAGAGCCAGTCATTTAAATTCTCTAATCATCCATTTCCTTATTTGTTCAGTAACAGTAAGGCTCTTTTCTGAGTGGTTCTGTAAGAATTAAATAAGAAAAACTGCAAGTACTTTATCAAACCATAGAGAACCATGCAAAGGTAAGGAGGATTATTGCTTGTATTATAGAGAATCATAAGACAAGACAGTTAAATTAAGCTCAAGAGTGGAAAAGGAAGTTTCCAGAGCAGTATTTTCTTTCTTTCTGACCACGTACAACCACAACAATGTTCCGTGTGTCTTCTTTTCACATGAAGGATGACATTACTTAACATAAATATCACACGTAAAGATTTAAAATATTTATTCTCATCTTAGCTACACACAATTTAGGCACTTTATTGGACTGACAAGTTCTCCAAGTCACCTGCAAAATGGAGACTTTCTACTACTACAATTATGAATACATTCAGCTATTTTGACAGGCAAAGAGAATTCATGACCCCAAATATGACATGTTTAACTTGATATTTACACACCAGTCAAATTCTCTTTGGATATACATACATTTGTTTCTTTTAGAAATGATCCTAATCCTATGAATATCATCCATTTTGCATCCATTCCTAATTGAAGCTTCCTTGACTTTAAAAATGCATGTATCATATTTATATTTCATCATACAAGATTTGCACTCTTTCTGCACATAAATTTAAAAAGACTTATCTACACCCTAAAATATGTTCATAACCTATGACTTTGGAATGGGAGATCATAAAGAAAGATACAGATGAAGAATTTTGTTCAAAAACTCCCTGGTAGTATTACTTATGACAGCATAATATTAGAGATAAGTTAACCTAACAATAAGGATTTGGCAAGGCAATTTTGATAGATTTTTGAGATGGACTCTATTAAAATAGCGTTTTCAAAGACATTGAAAAACATTAGAAAAATGCTTATACAGTAGTGTACAAAGCAGGATATGTTTTGCACATCCACATACAGAAATAGAAACAGATTCATACAAGTGCCAGCGGTCACTATATCTAGGTTACAGAACAGGGTGATCACTTTATGATTTTTATCGTTATAGAGTGATTTTATTTTAATAACTAGTAGATACTCATATACCCAGAAGCAGCAAAGTATATTTAAAAGAACAATAATTCGGCTTCATCACCATAGTAAGGTAGTTTTTCTGCTTGCTAAATGTGTCTCTAGAACTCTGAGAATAGTGTCTCCTCAACTCAGTTTTGAAATTTCCTTCTTTGGTTCCAATAGATGCAAATGGAGGCCCAATTGCCAGGAAGAGCCGGTCAGCGCCAGGACAGATGTTGGCTTTTGCTCTGCTTTGGAAGGGTTCCAAGTCTTGCTAACATCTGGATATCAGGAGTTCAGCCTATGCCCTACATTCAGATCCTAGCTGAAGCCATCTGGGTCCAAATCCAGAGTTTGGATCATTTTCTCTTTGATTTCACTTGTTATACAAGATCCTATGGCTTGGCCGAAGACAACTTTTTAACTGTACAAGCAGCTGCAAGTAATTATACTCTACTTAAAGCTTCCCTTCCAGCCTCTCCAAAGAATCTTATAAATACTGAATTCTGGAGCTGAAAGAGACTCAGAGATCCTCTTTAGCCCAATAGCTTATTTTACTGATGAGAAAATTGGTATGGAGAAACTGAAAAACCGCCTGAAGCCACACAGTTCACAGAGCCAGCACCAGGTCTCCTAATGCCCAGACTGCTGCTTTTTCTACCTGTTAATATTACTTCTCCTATATTTTCATAATATATATATATATATATTTTTTTTTTTTTTGAGTCAGAGTCTCACTCTGTTGCCCGAACTAGAGTGCCATGGCGTCAGCCTAGCTCACAGCAACCTCAAACTCCTGGGCTCAAGCAATCCTCCTGCCTCAGCCTCCCGAGTAGCTGGGACTACAGGCATGCGCCACCATGCCCGGCTAATTTTTTGCATATGTATTTTTAGTTGGTCAATTAATTTCTTGCTATTTTTAGTAGAGACGGGGTCTCGTTCTTGCTTAGGCTGGTTTCGAACTCCTGACCTTGAGTGATCCACCCGCCTCGGCCTCCCAGAGTGCTAGGATTACAGGCATGAGCCACCGTGCCTGGCCTATATTTTCATAATATTTTAAGCATAAGCTGAAAACACAATAAAGCAGCTTCATATTGAGGCATTCTAAAAGGGCAATTTATACAATTTTAAATCAAGTTTTAATAATTTATTACAGAAGGAAATTTGATGATGAAAAATGCTTTAAGTTAAGCTTTGAATATTAAATATGCAGAAAACTATTTTTTTCTTGCTTTTTATGTTTGTGGAATTATATCACAAATCTATCATTTCAGTTTTCCTTCTTATTCTCTGTTGCTTTCAAGTGAGAAAAGATGAAAATCTCTACTTAGCTTTTATGATTTCAAATGCTACTTTGAATTTTGTCTCAGGAGCTTATTTCAGTAGTTAATTTCCATTTTTCCTTTGCATGAGACAAAAATCAAGTTAACATTTCAGACCATTCTAAACTGGGGTCTTTCTGTGACATAGTATTGGAAACTATTTCTCTAAAATAGCCATAGAAGCTTAGAAATTATGGGGTCTGAGAACTGTCATGATTTATATTCACTTAGAGATAGTGGAATAATTCCTAGCCTTCTTTTAAACAATTGAGAACATATGACAATGTCAAAACCCTTCCCATTAAGGGTTACACCTCTAAAAAAAAATAGTGAATTCTAGTGTCAGAGTTGTAAGTAGCCACAGAAAAATGAATTGAAATTAAGTTAAAGGAAAATTTTATATTTAAAAAATAATTGTGTGACACACTATAGGTTATATTTGAGATAAAATCAATAATATAGATATTATGGTTTATGCATAAGCTAAAACATAGTGTTTCCCTATTCATTTTAGTCTAGAACTCATTATTTTGTTAGAATGGTCTTTCCATTACTCTTAAGTTTCCCCTAATATCCAACCTGTCTTGCATCATCTCTGTTAGCCAAGTCTCCTAGAGTTTACTCAGAGTAAATGTTACATGTAGTTCAAAGAGCATGAACCTGCAGTTGAGAGGGTATCTAGGGACTGAAGCCTGCCAATCCCAATCTAAGTAAACCACAGCAAGTTTCATAACCTCCCAGGACTTTAATTGTTTCATGGGGGGAAAAGGGGGTAATATTTCTTCTCAGGGCTATTTGGAATGAAAACAAAGGTATGAGCCATGCCTTATAAAGTATTATACATTGTATAATGTATAATATACGCTATTATTAATACCAATAATAAACAGTCACAATATTGACAGTCCATGAGTAAGTACAGGCTTACAGCAAGTAAGATATATTCTATAAACGTTTATTTGATTGATTGTTAAATTGTTTTTAAACTTTTCCTTTTGAAATGGATTCTTCTGGCCTGAAATCTACAAGCTGTGTGGAGAGGGGATGCATCCTTCTACAAACATCAGAGAACAGGGTAAGAAGCAATTCCCTCTATGCTAGTAAAACTGAGGCCCCTCTCATCACCTGCCTACCGTTCTGAGAAACTGGTAGTTCTGAAATAAAATTGGTTGTTCCAGTATATTATTTCTGTCATGCTGTCACTTAATTTATGTATCTAATCATAAAAAAAGAAAAAGTGTACTGAGTACCAATGGCGGGCAATTCTAGAAGACAGGGTTATGCAAAAACTAAGATGCAATTGGAGCACTGCCTGGAGGAGGCTCACAGCTCTTCAGGAGATAGGAGTGCCTGCACCATTCCTCCCTGCTCCCGAGAACCTCAGGCTCTGTCTTCTAGGCCAATATGTGCCCACCTGTGCTTTGAATCAAGATTTTCTCTGGCTAGGTTGGTAGATGGCATCTTCACTGAGGCTTTTCCTCTCTGGCTTCCCATCATAGCACTAACAACTGCTCACCCAAATCTCTCTGGGTTCCTTTTCTTAACTGTACAATGAAGGCAATGAACCAGGTGATCTGTACAAGCACACGCAATTTCTCTTGCCTTCAATCTTATTTACAACTTTAGTCATGTTCTCCTTTTCTTGAGAAGCAATTTCAAATACATAGAGAAGTCTGATGAGACTCATTAGTCACAGTCCCAAACCCAAACCTGGTCGATTGTGATCCAGTATTTCACTCCACAGCCAAAGCCAGTCCAACACATCAAGGCATCACAGTTAATACTCACAAGATCCTCAGAGAAGTGACCATCATCCCCAGTGTCCATTGGCACCAGTGGCCTCTCAAGTCTCGCTCTAGGGTTTTGATTAAATCAGTTACCTTTTTTAAGAAAGTTTGTTTCTTTTGGAACTAGACAATATTCCCAGATGGAGAACTTTAGGCTGTGATTAATTTTTTTTCTCTGACTTTCCCAAAACCTGTTCCCTCCCTTTAATGGACCTCTGATAGGTTAATAATTACCGCCTACTCAAAAAGAAGAAAAACTCTTACCTTCACCATTAAACCGGTATTTTAAGCCCTAGACAGTAAGGCTAATTTGAAGAAAGAGGGAGTTTCCATCCCTTCTTTCTTTTTAAATAATTCTGCTGGGTTTCACAGAGATAAATAGTGAGCCACGTGGCAGTCAGACAGCACCAAGTTTGGTCCTACATTCTCAGAGCAGAAAGCCTGGGTTTGCCTTTGGGGCTTAATTTTTAACTTCAGGTTCTCACTGATAGGGTGAGTATCTCAAAGATGTCACTGGTTTTTCTGCCTTGATCTGTGCATACAACTATTCAATCAACAAGCCTTTTTCCTGAAAGCAAGGCAGCATGGTGTGGAACAAACGGTAGGGCTCCTGAGATTGGAGATGGGTTCAATCCCACCTTCACTCCCCAGTATTTTCTGTGACCTTGGCCAACTCACTTAACCTCTTTGAATTGGTTTCTGCATTAGCAAAGGAAGGGTAGTAATTCTCATGCTTGGGGTTATTGGACAAATGAAATACATATGCTAACTGGTATTAGGTCCTCAATAAATGAGGTGTTTCTATTAAGGAGTTTTGTTAAGTCAGCTAGATTTTCCTTAAGCATTTGATGTCCGCAGCCTAATAAATGTGAGCCATGGCTATTCTGACAATTTCCCATGAAGCTAGCCAGTACCCTTCCTATCTGTTTATTTTCTGTGTCTTTTTTAATCAGTTTCTAATTGGCTTTTGACTCTTCCATTTTTGTCCTATTTGTGATTCTTAAGTTTTGGACTGTGGTTGCTACTGGATCTTCCTAGTTTGACGCCTGCCTCTTATAAAATGAGGTGGGGGCCTGCCATCTCTGGCTTTATCAGCTTCAAACTTCCCCAGCTGAGTTCCCCCACTAGTTAGTCTCACCGTTAATTCCCCAAAGACCTACTGGGGTAGGCTTAGCCGACTCAACACCTTAGCTAGACTACTTGGTCCCTGTGTTAGTTTTCTATTGCTGCTGTAATAAATTACCAAAATGTTGGTGGCTTAAAATAACACATATTCATCCTTACAGTTCTAGAGATCAGAAGTCTATGAGGGGTTTCCTTGGGCCAAAATCAAGGTGTTGGCAGGGCTATGTTCCTTCCAGAATTCCCAAGGGGAAATCCATTTCTTTGTTTTTTCCAGCTTGTAGTGGCCACCTGCCTTCCTTGGCTCTTGGCAACCTTCCTCCATCTTTATTTATTTATTTGAGACAGAGTCTAGCTTTGTTGCCCAGGCTAGAGTGAGTGCCATGGCATCAGCCTAGCTCACAGCAACCTCAAACTCCTGGGCTCAAGTGATCCTGCTGCCTCAGCCTCCCGAGTAGCTGGGACTACAGGCATGCGCCACCATGCCCGGCTAATTTTTTCTATATATTTTAGTTGGCCAATTAATTTCTTTCTATTTATAAGAGACAAGGTCTCACTCTTGCTCAGGCTGGTTTCAAACTCCTGATCTTGAGCAGTCTGCCTGCCTCAGCCTCCCAGAGTGCTAGGATTACAGGTGTGAGACACTGTGCCCAGCCCTTCCTCCATCTTTAAAGCCAACAGCATAACATCTTCAAATATTTTTCTCTCACTTCAATTCTTCTGCTTCCCCCTCATAAGGACACTTGTAATTACATTGGGCCCACCTAAAAAGTCCAGGATAACCTGCCCATCTCAAAACCCTTAACTAATCACACATGTAAAGTACCTTTTGTCATATAAGGTAATATATTTACAGGTTCCAGGGATTAAGATGTGGGCATCTTTGGGGGGCAATATTCAACCAACTATAGTTGTTTTTGGGGGGTAGACGGGTAATAGGAAGAATTGAAACAATGATTCCTTCCTTTAAGTAAAAATTCTGGTTATTGATTTTTTGTAAAGTCATCATGTGCCTGATCAGTCAATGAAATTTGTTAAAAAGAGGACATGAGAAATTTTTGATTAATTCACCCAAACCCAGAAGAAGGTGTGACATTTTCACAATCTGTGCCAAGGCAGAGCATGACCTGATATCAGTTCTGGTAGAAAAGTAGCTGAAAGTGGATCCCCCAAATAGGAGTAAATATAATAAGGAAACAGTGGCCAAAAGCCTTCAATGCCACAAGAGTCAGAGTGCATTCTTCAAGCTGCATGTTTTGTTTAGTGTAATCGTATAGTTGTATGTATAGTGTAATCCTACAGTTGCATGTTGCAAGCTTTTAGAAGGAATCTTGTTTATTTTGAGAATTACAATATCCACAGTTCTTGGCACAGTATTTGGCTAAGAATGTGATAAACTATAATATGTGCTATTGTCTAAATGTGTCACTCCAAAACTTATATGCTGAAATCCTAACTCAGAAGGTGATAGCATTAGAAAGTAGAGTTTTAGGAAGTGATTAGATCATGAAGGCAGAATCCTCATGAATTGGATTGCCATCCTTATAAAGAGGATGCAAGGAAGTTCATTTAAATCTGCAGTTCTGTGAAGACACAGCAAAAATATATTACCTTATATGGCAAAAGGTACTTTATATGTGTGATTACTTAAGGGTTTTGAGATGGACAGATTATCCTGGACTTTGTAGGTGGGCCCAATGTAATTACAAGGGTCCTTATGAGGGGGAAACAGAAGAATTGAAGTGAGAGAAAAATATTTGAAGATGTTATGCTGTTGGCTTTAAAGATGGAGGAAGGGCTGGGCACAGTGGCTCACGCCTGTAATCCTAGCACTCTGGGAGGCTGAGGCAGGCAGACTGCTCGAGGTCAGGAGTTCGAAACCAGCCTGAGCAAGAGCGAGACCCGTTTCTACTATAAATAGAAAGAAATTAATTGGCCAACTAAAATATATAGAAAAAATTAGCCGGGTATGGTGGTGCGTGTCTATAGTCCCAGCTACTTGGGAAGCTGAGGCAGAAGGATTGCTTGAACCCAGGAGTTTGAGGTTGCTGTGAGCTAGGCTGATGCCATGGCACTCACTCTAGCCTGGGCAACAAAGCGAGACTCTGAACCAGTGAGCAGGCCCCTACTAGACACTAAATTTGCCTGTGCCTTGAGCTTGGATTTCTCACCTCCAGAACTGTGAGAAATACATTTTTGCTGTTTATAAGCCACCCAGTTTATGGTATTTTGTTAGAGCAGCCTGAAAAGACTAAGACAATATGTGTTTAAGAAATATCAGTTTACTGAATGAATGAATTATTGAGTTACATTCACCACCAAGAATCAAGATTTCCGTAGCTGGTCCAAAAGCCTCACCCCCAATCATGAGTTTCACATAACAAAGTTCAATTAAATCAACTCAGTAAGCTATACATTTAAAAAACTTAACATACACTGGGCACAGTGGCTCATGCCTGTAATCCTAGCATTCTAGGATGCCGAGGCGGGTGGATCATTTGAGCTCAGGAGTTCGAGACCAGCCTGAGCAAGAGTGAGACCCCGTCTCTGCTAAAAATAGAAAGAAATTAGCTGGACAACTTAAAATATATAGGAAAAAAAAAATTAGCCGGGTATGGTGGTGCATGCCTGTAGTCCCAGCTACTTGGGAGGCTGAGGCAGGAGCATCACCTGAGCCCAGGAGTTTGAGGCTGAAACCATGGCACAGAGCGACAGAACGAGACTCTGTCTCAAAAAAAAAAAAAAAAAAAAAAAAAGAAGTTAACATAAAGAAGGTATTAAACATTTGTCCTTTATACTGACATCATTATAAAAAAATTGGAAAAAACGTTACATCTGTAACATTTATAAACCTTAAAAGTAATGTAGCAGAAAAGTTCAGAAAGTCTAAAAAATTTAGGTCTCTATAGCCTGACATTAAAAGCTATTCACAATCAGAGCAGCTCAATTGCACACTTTTTTTTGTTTGTTTGTTTTTACAATTTGTTATGTTCTAGACATAGCAATAGCTTCTGAGAATATCAATTTGTTTAAGATCTGGCCCATGATTCTACAGAGTTCAATGTCCACTGAGTGAACTACACATAGAGACAGGCAAGTAGGATGAAGGGTAATAAATACAAACAATACAAGCTTGCACAGGCTACTAGGAAAGAACAAATAAAGACTGCTGCCAACACAGGGGTGTCAGGGGAAGGCTTTCCAGAGAAGGCAGGGCAGTGGTCAGTCTTCATTGGGTGGTATGAATAAGTCAGTAATGTAAGAGAAGGACCTTCCAGAAAGCCACAGAGGCTTGATGTAGGAAATTAGAATTGTTCAACATGACTGGGGATTAAAGTACAAAAGCATAGAGGAAATGTGGTGAACTGACTGGAAAAGTGAGAAATATTTTTTTTAAAAAATCAATTGTTTTTCTCAGTAGTAGAAACAACTAGCCAGGAGTAGAAAGAGAATGACGTTTTTAATGTTCTCTAGCAAGAAAAATTACAACATTTTAAGGAATTATTTAAATAAAAAAAAGAAGAAAATAATAGAATTTTATTAAAGGACATAAAACAAGATCTGGCTAAATGGAACTATATGCTGTATTCTTGAATGGGAGAAGTTAATATCATAAAAATATTGATGCTTCCTAAATTAATAAACACAGTGAATATCCAATTAGATGAACGAAAAATGGAAAGACAAACTGGAAACAGCCTAAATTTCCATTAATGGGAGACTGAGTACATTGTGATACATCCTTATTATAAAAAAGTAAACTGACAGTTAAAAGGACCAACCCAAGGTGAAGTGCACCAAGAGAAGAGCAGCTCTTTGGCTCGAATTTTAAGATAAAGAGAGATGCTTAGAAGCTACCATGGAGAAATAACAAAAGAAACAACTTTTAATCTAAACAATAGATGGGACAATAGAGGAACGGCTTAATAATATGGTGAAATACCATGAAAAAGAAGCATAAATCACTTGTGTTTGTCCTGTTCAGAACTTGCCACATACTCATGATGTGCAGCAGAGTAAATAAAGTCCAAACTTTCTAGCCAAAGACCCTAAAAGGGAAGCTCAAGAAACTGAAAGTACCAGGGAGATCATGAAAAGGCAGGGGTTTGGGAAACAACCCCATGAGGTTGATTATAAACTCCTGGCACATTTCCAAGAAATAGCATGTGCATAGGTCTGATCTTAAACAGCATACCATATACTTTGAGAAATGAACTATGGATAGTATACCACAAAGGACCAGGAATGACCACTGGGTGACATACATTTAGGACAAATGCAAATAGAACTGCAAAAGTTTTAAAAACTAAATTCACCACAGA